CAGAGCACATGAGATTTCATGAGTGTTACACATACTGCATCTGAAGCCCCAAAGCCAGGCTGCCAGTCCATGGTTACACTTATCCCAGAGGACTCAGAAGCCTCAGACAAGCCAGTTTCCTTCAGGCAGACTACAAATTAACAAAATCAGAGTCATACTAAATCTGATCTGAGGACCAGGGACTATTTTTAATTTTTGAATAAGATATTTGGGAGGTTATAGCACCCAACTATATTGAAGAAAGCTGAAATTTAATATCAGAATTCTTTCCAAGTAGGTCAAGTGAAATATAACATGAATTAAGAAATACAGAAAGGTAATTATTATCTCGCCTGAAGTGCCTTAGGGCAATTCACACACTTATAGTACTTTTTCCTGATGATATAAAGCTGCACTGACATACCTCCTCTGAAGTTGTTTTATTAGCGTCAATTATCTACAAGATAACAATTATGGTTACAATTCAGTGTTAAGCTTAAATATATATATTTTTTTTGTCTGTGAAGGCATTTCTCTTCCCAGGGAAGTGGAACTGCTTCTCTCTGTGTGTTCCTATGACAAGTCTTTGCTCATATCCTTAGTGTAGGGTTTTTGTATTATAGCTGACTGTTTGCATGTCTAGTTTCATATGAAATTCCTCATAAACTTGCTTTACTCATTGGTGCATTCCCATTTTCTCCAAATGCCTTGTATAAAGCAGGTGGTAGGTTATATTAAGTAAAGGAATAAACAGTAGAGTGAGAGGTCATAATTGTTGTGCTAGAGAAAAATAGTTAATTTCTTCAACATTAATCTATTATAGCTGACTGTTTGCATGTCTAGTTTCATATGAAATTCCTCATAAACTTGCTTTACTCATTGGTGCATTCCCATTTTCTCCAAATGCCTTGTATAAAGCAGGTGGTAGGTTATATTAAGTAAAGGAATAAACAGTAGAGTGAGAGGTCATAATTGTTGTGCTAGAGAAAAATAGTTAATTTCTTCAACATTAATCTGTCTTTTAATGAGATTTAGGACACTTTGCCTTTCTGAGGAATCTTATTGTACTTTTTGATTTTTTAAAAGCATTAAGTAGTATTAGATTACTTACATTGCTCCATGAATTATTAAACTACTGTGAAGTTATATATCATTGTAGAAGAGAATCCTGTTTTAGTATCATAAGACACAAAGTGTGAAATTTAAATGCTAAGTTAAAATGTGCAATTTCCCAAGAAGAAAATATGAGAAACTTAACAGCTTCAAAAAGCACTTCCTCTAGGAAATATACCAATTTGTCTTCATAGCCAAAGGAAGGCATATTCTAAAAAAATTTTTAAATGACTCATAAATATCTTTTTATTCATTACTATTAGAATCTTTGGAATTTATATAAAAGCAACTATTTGAAGAAACTCTACATTCAGTTTTTGTAAAAGTCATTTCTCAAAGAAGAATGAGTTTGCATTTTAATTAAAATGTACCCCTAAAACTCCACCCGAAAAACAAAACACGACTTAAAGGCAATGCATTTACTCGTCTCCACGTTTCTACCGATGTGCGGCATTCTGTCACAGTGGGTTTCTCTTTCCCCAACTACTGCTACCAGGACACACCCACCCACTGCCCTGCACTGTGCCATTGCTCAGTTCTTGACATGGTACCAAGTAAGATCTCGTTCTCCATTCAAGTATGAGACTAAACACGGAACGTAGAAACATTACGTGTCATTAAAACGTGAGTATAAATAATGATGAGGCATACACGTCCTGAAAGATTCTAAAGGTAATATTTGCAGAATGGTCTAGGCAGAGGTTACAAGTGTAGCTGCTTGGCAGATAGAAAGGCAAAGTCCGAGCTGGTGCCTCACACATCATTTGAATGATAAAGTGCCACACATATACGATGGATGACAGAACATCAGATCTTTAGAGAGATAACTGAATTACTATTCATCTATTTATAGTGATGAGGGATTTATTTTATGTTTTTCCAAATTAAGGAGTCCTAATCACTGGCATAATCATTCGGCCAAGGGCTGACATAAATAAAATATCGAATTGGTGCTCCATTATTATATCATATTAGATCTTCTGTATAAGGTTCTATCTATTATAAGGTTTAAAAATAGGATAGAAGTTCCTTTTCATGTGTGAGGTAAACGCTAATTCAAGTGAAAAAATAGAGCATCAAGAAAAGTTTGGGAAAGCTCCAAGAACATAGATGAGAAAGTTTTATGCCTCAAAGCCAGGACTACTGACTTCTAAGGCTGACCCGAGAAAGGGATCACTTTTGTCTTTCAGTATTTTCCTCACAACTGTGATCCCAGTCAGGCAGCAGGGAGGAATGATGGTGAATTTAGCCCCAGCTCACCAACACAACTAGGTCCTTTATGAGACCTACTTACCCAAGGGGCCCAAAAGGAGAGTGCCTAATGTGAAGTCCTACAAAGATTAGAAAAGAGACAAATTGGAGAAATTTTCCAAGCCAGTCCATTGCATGCAACTATGGGATCCATAACATAGTGGGAAACCATTCGGCCTATGGAGGAAACACTGGATTTGCATGGTAGATTTCCTATTAACCAACTGCATCAATCAAAGAAACTTGGATGAGGCCCTTTTTCATTCCAATTTTCTCAATTTAACAAACATTTATGAGGTAGCTGTTATGTGCATGACAACAGGCTCTGAACAAGACAGCAGTGTTTCCCCACCAGTGGGACCGGCCCTAATTGCTTCAGATTCTGCTGGGCCACACTCTGGTACTAGCAATTGGGAATCCCTGGAGGTGGGTAAATCCTGGGTTCTTCTTAAGCACACGAACATCTGAGAGCCAGCTTTTAGCTAGAGGTAAAAAGATGGGTGGACACAGTTTGTACCTTCAAAAAATTCGAACATAATTTCTTTTTCTGGAAAAGGGCCTTGGTCTTAAAAGATTTTTAAATTTTTCTGATATACATTTTAACTTGTTTCTAAAGAGCTAACCTTTAACAAGGTATTGCCACTTAATAAATATAATTATAGTTATGTGACCTGATTCTATTTATATAAGCATGTTCTACGAGTTCACTAAGCCACATTTTAAAGCTTCATATTCTTATCTAAAACCAAATTAAAAAGTAGTCAGTTATCCTGGTGTGTGCTTGTATTCCTAGTACTGTGGACACTGAAGCAAGAGGATCACAAATTTGAGGCCAGACTGGGCTACATGGTGAGTTCAACCCCACCCTAAATCACAAAGTGAGATTCTGTATTTTAAAAAAAAAAAGAGGGGAAGGGATGGAATGGTGCAAGACAGGAAAGTATCAGAAGGGAAAGGAAAGGAAGGGGAGGGAAGGGAAGGGACAAGTAAGCAACCATCAGGATTATTATTCTCTTCAGTGATTGTCAACAGTGTCCAAGGAGGTATGCGACTAGGACCTACTGAACATGGTCTGCTTTAAATGAGCTGCACATTCTTCGCACACAACCTCACCTAATTAGGTTTCCTCTTTTTTCAGATGAGGGGTTAGGCTATTCAGATGGCAATGCCTGCAAGTATCCAATGACAAAGTTCCCAGGACTCTATGACTCTTAAAATTTATAAAAGATACTTGTGAAACACCTCCTATCCATAAGGCTATACCAGGGTCTGTGCAAAACAAACTTCACATATAAACATTGCTGTTTAAAAAGGTATGCACTCACGTAATTGATCCATCTCAGACCCACTAATTTTACTACTAATTCGTTTCTTGCATTCAGTTATTCCTTTTCATTTCCAGTGTAGCCACCCATCCTTTGAAATGATTAACTGGGGCCGATGTGATCCTGATCACTCTGTTTCCAGTCTAGTTAGAGTCTATTCAGCCCCCAGCTCCATCATTCTGAAAACAGGTCTCATGGTGTCACCACCTTAAAGCCCTCAGCGATCCCCTGTGTTTAGAGCCAAACACGAAAGTTGATCCCATGGAAACCTGTGCTGTCCCTGCCACAGCCCCGTCCAGCCAAATTCTCACCATGTCCCCGCCAGTCCCTTATCTTCCAAGCAATCCCACATGCTTGTTTCATGGTTTCCCCAAAATATGTTTTAAACTTTCAACTTTCTCATGTTCTAGTTTCTTTGTAAAGTTCCTTTCATCTCCTTGTCTGCCTACCAAGATTTGTAGCCCTAGAACATCTCTTCTACATTCATACTTGTTATATTTTTCCACATTTCTTCTCTGACAGATTTTAAGCAAAATAAAAGCTAGGATTATGTTTCATTTCCCTTAGTACCTTAAGGGTCTATAGTAGTAACTCACATGTAGTAAATGTTCAAAACAATGATTGGAAGTTGTCTTAGTTACCTGTCTCTCCTTACTGAGACAAAATATCCAACACGCAAAGTTAAATGGAGAGTTAGCTCACAGTGTGTAGAGATTCCAGTCCATAACCAGCTGGCTCGAAGGCAGGACAGCATGGCAAATGGCAGGGGATGGCAGACGAGAAACATTTCATGGTGGCCAGGAGGTAACAAAAGCAACAAGGGACCTTTCTCCTTCTGTCCTTTTCATCTTATTCAGACTACTTAAATCAGTGGCACTCATAACTTAATCTGAGTGCCCTTGGGCCTAGCATTGCACCAAAAATCAATCACCCACTCTAGATTCAGCCACCTCTGAAAAAGCTCCACAGAGGATTGTATGAGCCTTTGGGAGACATCAAGCACAAGCCTTAATCGAAGTATAAATTAAGCTGGTTGGAAATACCTTCCGATACAATTTTAGAAAGGAAAAACAGAAAATAACCGGCTGTCTCTATAGTGGAATATCTTTCCACATATCAACTGCCTTTTATTTAGATTTAAATGAATTTTCTTTTCAATATAGGTCATGAAACAAACTTATAGAAGGTCTGCACATAGTGTTTGACATGAGCATCACAAAATGTGCACGGTAAAGTAGCCTTGAGAAGACACGAGTTAATCCCTCACCTTTAAATGATGAGCACATTAGGGCCAATAGTCAGGGCCGGGCTTACAAGAGCGGCCACTCCTACCTGTCAGGTCTGGATTGGGCCACCAGCCCAGGTCGCAGGCTTTACAGGTGAACTCGTCCTGCACATATTCATTCTCTTTGCAGGCAGTGCAAATCCAGCAGCAGCTTACTTCTCCTTTCCGTATGACCTGCAACGGGGACATTGCACATATCTTAAAGGCAACTTCCCCAAAAGGCTTCTGCTGCAGGTGAAGACTCATCTTCGTGCTATGATAAACACAGTCAAAACATAACCTTGACAAACTTTCTATGCTGAAGACCCTTAAATGGCATATCGGAATATCCTTCATTATCCCACAGTTGAGATGTTAATGCCAATTTATTCCATCCAGAATTTGAATGCTTTAACTATTTCTTTGATAGAGTGAATTCACTACATTATTTTTGCAGAATTAAAACATGAAAATTCCATTTTATTCTTGTTTATATTCATAATTATTGATTATTCTAATAGTAAAGGTAAATTTTTCTCTGAAAAAGCAAGTAATCTTTAACCCCAAAGTTCTTCTATGATAAAACATGAATTCATAAAAGCTGAAGAATTATAAAATATTTGGTGTAATTCTGAGGGACTGAATTATGAATAATTTTACTCTAGAGAAAAATTATACACATTGGGCAGAGTGACGACAAGGGACGAACCCACAGCTACTGGTCCTGTGTGACTTGCTCTGGTGAATTCAAATAAGTACATTGGTTCCAGTGAGAACAAATTACAGTTAGAAATTATTGAAGAATTGCTTCTTATCTGAGCAGTTTAAACTTTCTCCAATTTTTCATTTATTTGGCAGACACTTTCACACCTTTATAGAACCAAATAAACATCAAGACACTGCTTGTTATTTTACTTATGAACAAAAGTGAATGTCTTTCAAACAGCACAAAACCAGGTTTTGCTTTCATTGGCAACTGAAAAATTTCTGCCTTTTATTGTTTAATACATTTACATTGCTTGTAATAATAAATGTGTTTAGATACAAAAGAATCATCTTTCCATTCCTTTCTATTTGTCCTGTTGATTTTTTGTTTGTTTTATTTTTAGCATTCCAAGTTATCCAAAATAATGGTTTATTAGATAAACTTTTTTTAGTTTCTAGTGACTTTTTGTTCTAGAGGTTCCTTGAAGGTTGACAACAGGCACCGTTACATTATCACAGTCTATATTCACATACTGCACGATTGCACTACAAAAACATGGACTTGTATGATGTGAGAAGCCTACAGAAAATACTCTTCCTTTCTCCCTCTTATCATTTGGGTAATGGTTTAATAATTTCACTTACATAGAATATTTTATGGCATCTCCCACACTCACAATGAATTATCACTTTTGCTGTAAAGTTATTTTTAGACAAAATTTTAAAATTATAGAAACAATATTTTACCATTACCCATACATTTTCAATTTCTACTATTTCTAATTATTTCTTATAAACACATATTTCCCTTATGTAACTTTCTTCTCCTTGAAGAGTTTTCTTTCATATTTACACCAAAATATGACTTCTCACTATTTGTTCAAAGAGGCTTCGTTTTGCCTTAATTTTCTAAAGCAATATTTTTACATATTTTGTTGGTGGTGATGTTTTAGCTCTTTTGACATTTTATTGACAGAATTCTGGGTTCAATTTTTTTCTTTTTTTTCCTTTTAGAACTTTAAAGATATCATCCCTTTCTTTTCTAGCATATAGTATTTGATGAAATGTCTGCTATAATCTCTATTTTGTTCATTTGTATACAATAGGCCTTTTTATTTTGAGTAACATTAAAGTTTCCTTTGGTCAGTTTTAACATCAACATATATCATCTTTGTGTTTATCTTGCCTACACTTTGTTGAGCTTCATGGATTTGTGTTTACATTTTCATTATATTTGAAAATTTTAAGTCATTATTTCTTCACAATTTTTACTGCATCTCTTTCATGTCATTTTGGAGTTCCAAATGTACTAATAGCATAGCCCTTTGATATTATCCTGAGAGTTACTTAGAGTCTGCTCATTTCTGTTTTCTTTCTTTCTTTACCATATTTTGCCTTTTTTTTTTTTTTTTTTTTTTTTTTTTTTGAGACAGGGTCTCACTATGTAGCCCAGGCTGGTCTCAAATTCACAGTGATCCTCTTGCCTCAGCCTCCTGAGTGCTGGGATTACAGGCGTGTGCCACCATGCCCGGCCTGCCATTTTCTATTGCTGTGTTTTACAGTTCATTGATTTTTACTTCTGCAGTGGCTGGATTCCATCCACTGACATATTTTTTCATGTTATTTTTATGTGCATAAATTCTATTTTATAATTTTTGTTTTCATTTTCTTCCAATTATATTTGTCTTTCCTTTAAAATTCCATAATATGTATTTATAGCAGGGGTTTTGAAGTCTTCACCGTTAATTCCACCATCAGTATATCATGTAGTATAATTTGATTTTTTTCCTGGTAATGTTACATTTTCCCACTTTGTCACATGCACAAAAATTTCTCACCAGATGATAGACATTGGGTACATTAAGGTGTATAGTGCTGAATTTCTCATTTCTTTCTTTCAGGTGTGCTGCCCTTTGCTCTAGCAGGCAGTTAAGCTCCTTGCAGCTCAGTTTGCCCCTTTGGGGGCTTTTTTTTTAACCCTGTGGAGCAATTTCTAGAATAGTTTCTGCTCTTGGACGAGTTTGACCTCATTATTAAGGTCTGACCCTTCCCTGGTCATTTTTTAATTCCTTGTGCATTCAACAAGATACCTCTGTTCTGGCTGGTGGAAACCCCAACAATTCCTGGTTCTGTATCAACTCAAGAAATTCAATTCCCTACTAATTGTTCTTAACCTACAGTCAGAATTCTATTCTACTTACTGTAGATTGGTATTTGAATACTCAAAGGACCTTCTATGCTAATTTCTGAGACTTATATAATATTTATTCATTTTCTTATATGGGTGCATCTTCTCCCTTCTACTGTACTGGAATTTCTAGCTGCTTTGGCCTTCCCCAAGTCTGCTGCCACTATCTACTTCAATTAGCAAGATAGACAAACTATTTGTGTTCTCTCTAGTTGAAGGGTCAGGAAAATGCCTCCAGGTCAAAAGCCTTAGTGGTTTTAGGGTTCACCTTCTTTGTTTTCCTTCACCTCCTCAGCATTCGGATTATATTCTGTTTTCCAATGTCTAAACACATTTGCCTCATATATCTTAGCAAATTTTCTCATTATTTACAGCAGAAGGCTAAGTAAGGACCTTGTGACTCCCTCGTATCTAGGAGCAGAAGTGCTTCCCTAAAACATTCAAAAGTACCAAATAATTCCATACATAGAGTCAGAATTAAACTGTACATATTGCAATACTTTAAAATAATAAGAACTCTATTCTTCATGAAAATGAAATTACTTTCCTACAGAGCAAGTTGAGATTTACATCACTATTTTAGAATTACATAAAATGATAAAATGACATAATATTTTCCAACAAATGTGAAAGGTTTCCCATTTTTTATTTTACTTTCAAATGGTTTTTGAAAGTTGTTTTGTTTTTTGTTTTTGTTTTTTTTCCCCAGGTTTTTTTTTTGGGTACCAGGTATCGAACTTGGGTCCTTGCTCTTGCTAGGCAGGCAGCAGAGCCACTGAACTACATCCCCAGCCCTGAATTAAATCCTGGCCTGAAAGTTGAAAGAATTGTCTGCTTTGAAAAATAATTGACAAGTATCTGCAGAATAATCACATGGAATCTACATTTCAAATGATATTTTTGTAAATGATATGATAAAACTGAATTAGTAAATCAGTGTCATTTTATTTAAATTGTGGCAAGCAGTGCAGTAAGAGCTAACACAAAATATTGTATGTCACTTCAAGAAGCTTTAATTTTTTTTCTCCCTATAAAAATACTGTTTAGACAAGTTCAAAAGATAATAATGTTAAATGAGTTTACCAACTCAATTTTCCTTGTGCTTTTGGTGACTTCCATCTCTTCAATCCTCCAATCTAAAGAATTGAGATCAAAGTAGCAGTATCTTATTGGATGGTAGATATTACCAGGAAATTATGGTAAATATATCTTTAGTTATTTTATATTTGACAGATATATTGCAGTGTTTCCATCATTGAAAAATAAATGGAGTGATAATGCTTTTCAAACCTCATGTAGTTGATTTCCTGTTGCACATAGTTCACTTCCTGTCACATGACTGAAACAGCTTTTCACTAAATTGTGATATTGACAGGTGTTTTATATCCCAGAAAAGGAACATTACTGTGTACCCACATTCTCTTCTCAGCTTTGCTACTGGTAGCTGAGACTCAATACATTTCTATTTCATGTAGCTATTTCTGTATAATGTGGCAGGAAACATTCATAGCAAGTAGTAGAAATATCATTCATCTATACATACATACATACACAGCCATTTAGACATGTATTTTATAGTATATGCTTTGTAGTATCAGATTTATTCTTAGCACACTTTGTTTTACTGTTAGGAAAGGTGGGGTGATACTAATTGATTGAACAATTTTGTTCGGAATGGATATCCAGGGCCAGGGATTTAGCTCAGTGGCGCTGTGCCAGCCTAGCAAGCACAAAGCCCTGAGTTCAATTTCCAGTATTAAAAAAAAAAAAAAAGACATCCAGTTTTCCAAACAGAATACATTATTTTACAGATTAATTCTAGAGTTGGGCTAAACAACTAACTACCATAAATAGAGTGCTTGGGCCAGAGATTTAGCTCCCTGCCTCTCAAGTGCAAGGTCCTGAGTTTGATCCCCGGTACCAAAAACAAACAAACAAAAAACTGAAAACATAAATAGAATTCTTTCAAAAGCAGAAAGATGTGCAGAAGAGGACAACAACATTAAAGTAAAGCAGCAAAAGGAGGAATTATTTAATAGTTCACCTTATGAGGATAATCTTAGGCTGCTACAGATGGCAAATATTCTGGAATCTAAAACTCTGACCCCGTCCAGTCTTGATGATGCATGATTTCAAACAATTTGCATATTTTTTAATCAATGGCCTATGTGAGAAGATGATAATGTAAATGTGAACTCAATAGAGTCAATATATTCTTTACATAGGGTATTATTAGAAATTATGTTTCTGCATTTACAACTTCTCCCAGGGAGGTTTGCCTACCAACAAGAAAACCAAAAAA